TGGATGTTATCTGTATAAAAAATATGTGAATTGTTTAATATCAATGAATTGGAATACGCAAGAATTTGATTTCCATTGGCAAAGTCATAAATAATAAACGCCTTAGTCACAACATTCATTCTCGGGTTCTGTTTCATCTTAAGTTTAGAATGACCCAACACTGATGACATTTTTTCTACGCCTTAGTTGTTTTTATGACATGGAATACACTCTTTTATTTATTATTGTATGTTGATTTTTGTTGGATTTGGGATATCATGGCTAACATGGATTGATTGGATTCCTTTTAATTGGTCCCATGATACGGATGAGGAGGAGGTTGATATATGGATACTGACTATCGTGTGCTTGACTACGAAGATCCCTTTATCGAGCTGGGGTATTGGACTACTTTTGACAGGAAGGTAAATCTATTTTATTTTAACCCCCCCAAAAAAAAAAACATTCCCTCCTGTACTGTTCATGTCGTTCTGAGAAGTTAGACAATAATTAAGATTTTTTTTTGCCAGTAATAAACCTTTTTAATGAAAATTAATAATGTGAAAATTAAGAGTGAATCTGAAAAAGCGCAGTGTATTTATTAGTTAAATGTGACTAATAATAGAAAAATATGTACAAAAGATCCAAAACGTCATTTATTGACATTTAAAAAGAAGAATGAGAGGTAGTATAAACTATTATTAAATAATATTTAAGCTCATATATTTGAAATAATATTAATATAACATTATGAAGTAATATAAATAAATAAACTATCATTAAATAATATTTAAGCTCAGTATCGGTTTTGATTATAACGTGCGTTCATATTTTGTTTGAATGTTGTTTAAGGTAAATTCGTGCATTTTTTTCTATTGCCGCTTGAATATTGTTGAGCCATGAAGTAAATCCGTGCATTTTTCTATTGCCGCTTGAATATTGTTGAGCCATGTTCAGTTGGTCGCTGTGACAAATCTTTTAAAACTAGATTATTTTGCCTGCTTCTAAAGTTTTCGATAACCGGGGAAAGAAACCAGTGAATGCATGACACAATAGATTTTGATACTCCAGATATGGTCAAGATCTTGAGGCTTATGTACTGCAGGGTACGTAGTTATTCACTCATGTTAAGTAGTCCCTAGGTCACTGGCGGTGAAGATGATAAGGTGGGCTTGGCTGCAAACATATGCCAAAAGGGTAATCCCTTCATTTAATCATTCGTTTCATCAATTAGGCATAAAATGATGCATTTAAAAGTAAAAGAAAAATAAAAAAAACATCTTCTAATTTGTTAGTATACTTAATTTAAGTGCATTTAACATTCATCTCTACACCATTTTTCCATCTAGAAACACAGTACCAAGTTAATTATTTCAATTATCATTTAATTTGATCAAATTATACACACCACTATGTAATATTTTATCCCTGATTGGTGTGTTTTACTAAATACTAATCATGACATTCGTCTTCTTCTTTAGATTAAAAATGGTGGATGTTGATAATTGATTGGTTGCACTTCTTTATTTATTTTTTTTTTCTTTTGTGGATTTACAAAAATGGGTAGTTGGTGAACATAAAAGTGGAACA